ATTATTTCGATGAAACATAAATAAATGAAGAGAATACATAGGTTTTCAAAATTTGGTAAGATTTAAAAATCAACAGCAGACGAAAAGGATTTTTCCTCTGGGAAAGAAGAGCTAGAAATAATAAATTTCAGAAATGGATGCGGATTTTTTGATAACTTGTTCGAGTCATGATGAACATGAGATTACCATGAGGATACGGACAGTGGAGTATTTGAAAAACATTTTAGAGCAGCGAGGGCGCTGATAATGCGCTTTACCATAGTCAACAAATAGGAAAATTGCATGGAGAAAAGGTGAAATCATGAAATGGTTGAATGGAAAATATACCTGTTATGAAGACACGAAGTTAAAAGTACAATTATTATTAGCAATTGCACAAAAAGAAAAACCCAAGTACATGAAATATGTAATGGATAAAATTGTTACAGCACGTGATGTTACACTTCTTCGATTGCCAGAACTTTATATGGCACGAAACAACACAACTCTTAAATTAGTGGATCTAAAAATAATTCTGCAGGAATTAATTGGGTAAAAGTGCGATCTCTATACAAGAGTTGAGGTTTGTTGATAACGATTATGTTTCGAGTTTTGGTACCCTCCAAAATGATACGCCCATGGAATTACATTCCCCAGAGGATTACTGATCCTCAAAACAAAAATCTTAGCAACTTTTATGCTTATGTAAGTAATAAGCCGATATTTGTAAAAATTCATTGAAATATCTAAAAAAACTTAACAAAAAAGGTACAAAGATAACTTAATATAGGTACAACGGTTTATTTTCAATTAAAAAAGCTACTTTGAAATTCAGTTGCTTTCGGACACACTGCATAAAAGAAAAATATATATAAAGAATAGGTATATCTATATCACCATCCATCAGAGTAATGACAGAAATTATTTTTTTATGGTATAGATAACTTTAATTGAAAATGCATGTATATTATACAGACAAATAATAAATACTCCAGATAAATTAAAAGCACACCATACTATTTTTATTTCGTATGTACCTGTTATCCTTTCACATCGGTACACGAGATGTTGCAATAGTACTCCGACCAATTATACATTATTATCATTCGCTGAACAAAAATAGAAAAATAATACAAAACATGGTTCGCTTTCGAATTAGGCTTTTGATGTTAAACAGTTCATAAAAAAATCCTTGTGGTATCCACACCTCTAGTGGGATGAACATTATCCAAGATAAATGAAGCTCATTTAACACTCTCTATGGACACTCTGTGCTGCGGACACTCTCTCTGTGGACTTTCTCTGTGGACACTCTCTGTAGACGCAACATGTGTGAAATTGGACTTCCCACTATAAATGTATATTTAAGCATTGATCTCACAAACGTAGTAAATAGAGTAGTAAATAGAGAATTAAGAGTTTCCAATAAAATGCCTCGCATTACGTATTAGAAAACCAAGATTATTTTGTGCATTTTGTGCATTCGAATTGACATTTTGAATATATAAATTAAAGGAAAATTTAGTAGTGATATAGTTAATAAAAATGATGAAGAGTAGTGATCCGAGAATCGAGCCTTGAGGAACCCTTGAAATCTGAGAAAAATTAGATTATTAAATAAGTATGACTGAAACATAAAGATTAAATTGTCAGTCAAACCACTATTAACCGATTTACGCAATAATCGACCACGGTCAAACGCCTTTGAAAAGTCAGTGTAGATAACGTCGATCAAGAGCTTAACTAATAAATTTAGTCATACATACTAAATTAGTTTCGGTAGATCGGCCTGTTACGAAAGCATGCTGTTCAAGTATAGTAACATTACTGACATGTCGCGAGTAAACTGTGAATCAATATTTCCAATGTTTTGAAAAATTGCTTAAGGTATTAATTGGTCTATAATAAATTATATCATCTTTTGAGCCTTTTTAAACGATTCTGCAGATTTTCCGTAAGAGAAAATTGAAGTATACAAAATTATATTATACATTATACACGATGATTCATAGACGAAGATACTACAGTCCCTTTTAAGAAAGCTGGAATAAGGTCAGGTCCAGTGGTAAGATTAGACTTAATTTAAGTAATGCCAATACTTTATCAGTGGTACATCTTTTCCTATTCAATATATTTAAAATATTATTATTTAAAAGAGAGGCATTCTCGAGGTCAAAAGTAGGTAGGTACTCAACTCAATTTAAAATCCAGAACAAAAAACAAAAAAATTATCCGCAACCAAGGCTCTTTTATAGAGCAATCATTATGTCACAAAGTCGAAATACTTCTCTTGGCATTCTAAAAATTTAGGATTACCCAGATTCAATATTAATACTGTAACGAAATTCGCTCTAGTGTGCTTTGTTATTACTTATTTACTTATTATTTACTTATTTACTTATTTACTTATTTGTTTCATGATGCTTCTAGAATTTGTTCTATTTCTTTCTATTATTTTTTAAAAGCTTATAGATTGTTCTATACTATTCTTAGAAACCTATAGGAATATACAGGGTGTAACAAAAATAAGGTTACAAACAGATAGAACCCTTAAAATTAGTAGGGGTACTTCATATACTTCTTTTTTTAATATTTTGAAAATGGTAGGACGGAATAATCCTAAATTTGGTACGAATACTACACTACATACTCCTCATAACCTAAAACCTTCAATAATTAAGAGTGTAATTCAGGTGCGGAAATATGGAGAAGGTGGACCTCTTTTTTCTTAGATATTTCTACTCAACTGACTTTAAAAAAAATTTAGAGCAGAAAGTGTAACTTCACTCTTTTTCGGGCGAGCCTTCGTTCTCCAGTTATTTGATGTATCTACCATGAAAAGACCAGTTTTGCTTCAGAACATTTCTAAGAAAAAGCTTATGTCTTATTCGTAGATTACTTATAACATTTATGCTATTAACAAAATATCACATAATAAAATGAAACAGACTCACTAACACAAACTAATACTGTTTTGTATTATAACAAATGTTTAAAATACCCTCCTCTAAATTCAATACACGCTCGGGCACGACGAATCGTAAGCTTTGTTGTACAGCAGTCGGAAACTATCAGCAACTGTATGACACATGCGTGACAGGTCAATAGCGTTCGCACAGCGATAATCCGTGACTCCTGACTAAAAATTTGATGTTCGCAGAACAAAACTTATGAGTTGTGGAACCATCAAAATAATCCGCTGACTCCCAACAAATTTTCGGTTTCGAACATGCGCACTATGGGCACTCTTGAACTAGCGCTGTTCTATGCTGTCAAGTACAAGAGAATAACATAATTAATAATTTTAATACGTTTAATTATAATATAAAATCGAAGTAACAAACCAACAGACGATGAATCTGTTCAAAGTAAGTCGTAAAACAACAATGATGTAATAAATCTTGGGTTAGCCGTTTGTTGAATAAATCATCTGCAGACGTGAAAGCTTTAACTCGTTGTAAATGATCAGGGTAAAGGAGCTGCTCCCAAGTGGTCATTTGGTTAGTATTAAATTGTCTGGCTAATTGCCGAGTACTGACATTTGGATTTCTACCAACAGCTTCCAAAATAAATTATTCAACCTCAACTGTAGGAGCTAGGGGCTCTTCGTGTTCTTCCTCTTCCTGGTAATGGAGCAATCACTGTACCTGTTTCTGCCAGATGATGAAATAGTGAAGCTAATAGTTTATGACTTGGCTGTTGTGGATCTGGATAAACTTGTTGATAAAGCCTAGTAGCTTCGCCATCATTACCATTGGCGCGATCGTTCATAAAAACTATCTCTGCCTTTGACTTGACAGTAGGTCACTTGATTCTGAAGAAAAATATATGAGTTTTATTGTATTAATAGGGCAATCAATAGCATTAAATCAGTGATTTTGTGACAAAAGTACTAGTAGCAAATGGACTGTGCCATTATATAAAAGACAGTCTGTAGATATATGCTTACATGGTTCCTACTCCAATTTACCATTAATTAATTTTATATAAACATTTTTATGAAAAAGATGAATTTTTTTAGTTTTTTGCTACTACTAACGAAGCAATCTGAATGCTATAGAAAGACAATATTCGTAGAGAATCGAAATACGAATAAAACGAGAGGTCGATCGATCCGATTGGATAATTAGAAACGAGAAAGTAGAAGTATAAAGTGGCACCTTTTTTCAAAATAGCCTTTATACATAATTAAATGCCTTATGAACTCTAAACCTTAGAGATGATATTTTCCCTAATTCTTTCTTTATGTACGTTATAAATATTTATTCAAACATTTCAGAAATAAATACCTACTTACCGTTACAATTTATTTGGATGGTTTAAATAATGTAATATTTGATACACGAGTAAGTACCTGGGTACATTAGTGTCTTGACATATCAAAAATTTCAATAACACTTTAAATAACTAACTAATTAGATATATTTATATAAACTACATTTGTTATATAAATTTCCCACAGAGTACATATAAAAATAAAAACATTTTCAAGGGTTCAATGTTGACACGTTATTGTTCATTTCTTGTATAATGTTACACAAACAGTCGGGGTTATCACAGGTTGGATCATCAAGGTTACCCTTCGTCTCAATTTTTTTTTCTAAAAAATAAGGTAAGAGATAATGATTGCGGATTTTGAAAAAAAGTTATAAAACTGTGTTAGAACATTTTGCCTCTACGAAATTAGCTGTTAGATAACTGTCTTCGATCTTTCAGTTCGCAAATAACGAAATAGTCCCTGTTACACTTATCTTTGCATTCAGTTTTTTAAATCATATTTTTGTGGAAAAATGGAACAAATCTCTCAATGGTGTTAATTTGCATACAATTTTCAATAATGTTTCACCATCTCGCTGAAAAGCAAAATTTATTTTTGAAAAACGTTTCTATAAACTAATTGAGAAAAACTTAGTTGATTTGCATAAACATATATTTGTATACTGTATATTTATTTTACAAAGGACAAAATTCTTACAGACAGAAAAATTGCACCACTGAGCCAGGGATATACCTTACGTTCATCTTGATTTAACAAAAATGGTTTGACTTGAATTACATGACCAAATACGGTTATTTGAAAAGAACAAAGATTTAGAAGTACGTATCAATATTTATTACCATCGTAATGTTCTTCTTCTTTATTCTTGTCTCTGTCTCTGCTTCTTTCCCTATCTCGATCTTTATCTCTGTCTCTCTCAGATTTTGACTGTTCGTTGGAGCTACTTGGACTCACTTCTTTAGGTTCGCTGCTACCATGTCCGTTACTCCATTCTCTTTCTTCTGTTCGTTTCCTTCCTCTCCTCCTCCTCTTCTTCTTCCTCCTTCTCCTTCCTCTATCAGACGGCTCAGGAGTTCCTAGATAAAACCACAATCAAATTATAGAGAGAAGATCATTTTAATAGTACATTGTGTAACGAGTGGGGAAAAGTTGCCAATAGCGCCACGAGGACGCAGTTGACGCACGAGCGAAGCGAGTGCGGAAAGCGCCCAAGTGGCGCTATGGCAACTTTTCCGAACGAGTTGCACATACTATTTTCTATCACGCGAGCTCGCTATGGGACCTATAGTGTAGGGGGTTAGGTGCACTGGAAAGTGCTAGATAGTACAACAGGAGCCTTGCGCTATGAAAATAACATCACGCTGTTGTACTATCTAGCACTTTCCGTGCATCTAACCCCCTACATTATAGGTCCCATAACGACTCGCACTTGTGATAGAAAACTAATTATATCATCTTCTTTTCATCCCTATACCCTACAAATCCTAATCTATGGTGGTTTCATGTACAGCTGTGCACCATAAAACTTATTAATATAAAATACCGAAATGTTGCATCATGCGAGAAAATATTTACACTGTAAAAGCGTTGGAAACATTATTTGTTTACAACTATATATAGAATACAGGGACATCGTGTATGCGTTCGTACCAGAGATACTGTCAGAAGCAGATCCGCTTGCAGTAGCATCCTCATCGGCGCTGCTCCTCCTTCTCTTCCTCCTACGCTTACTTCTCTTGCGGCGCCTTTTACCTCTTTTATGTTCCCTTACGGGATGTTCTCTCTTCTTTAACTTTTGAAAATTCTTGAATATGGCATAGTCCTTTGAGTCCAAGCCCAATCTGAATTTGCCTCCTTTCTGTTTAATGAGACCCGTATGAACGCCGTGCCTCAGGGCTTTTTTGATGTGTACCACTGGGTTTCTGAACGTCATCTTGTTGGCGCTGAGGAGACATTGCACCTGGTCGATTATTCGCTTTTGGGTTGAGCCTCTTCCTTCCTTAAGGTTAGCTATGGCCTCCATGACCGCAGTCAAGAGGCGTGGTTGGTTCCCGGTTTTCGCCATCACCTCTGGTGCTGAACGATACTTTCCCTGACTCCCACCTATGATTTTTTGTACTAAAAATGAAAAATAATACTGGTGTTAAAATAAAGATGTGAAACTTGTTGGGTGTAGTTAGATTTAAAATACTGAAAAAATTAGCCTCATTTTTTAATCACAATGATGTATATGTACATTAACATTAGCAGCTAGTTTCACAATCATTAGTGAACCACTGGTTAAAAATTCACCAAAAATTAAAAATATTTGTTTCGTCTGGTTAACTTCAAACTCTTTATGTTACTGTTACTTGAGCTATTGGTTAATTAACAGTTAGATAGGTATGGATTAAAGAGGTAACAGCATATACCTAGTACTTAGTTAAGATTAGCTAGTCGAAGACTTCAACTTTTCGAGGTAAACCAAATTTATTTGAAGAATACGATTAAAGGACACAGACAGTTGAAAAAGAGATTATTTTTCATCTTACCGAAACTTTATGGTTACGTTTGTAACCATTGTTAAATGTACGCAGGGGCTTGATTTTTGAAAACAGGAGAACTGATTCTCCAGAGAAAAAATTCACCTGACAAATTTCTCTTAAAAACTTAAACACTTATTTTTGAACGTTGAAGGAATCCAATTCTCTAGAGAAATTAATTTATGCCGTATGTCGAGGATATATTTGCAACTGACCAATCAGCGGGCAGAGTTTTCTTCAATATTTCAGTGCCATTATTGGCGACCCTGATGTTTAGTCACTTGATTTGATTTTTTAGTTTGTTTTGTAAATGTCATTATATTCGTCAGGGAGACTAGACATCTCCGTGATATTTGTAGTAATTTAATATAACTTCAATTTGAATAGAAGTATATTTGAAAACACAAAAAATTTAATATTATTATAATTATGATGAAGCGTTCGTTCACGTCGAAAGCGCAAAAAAGAAATTAATATGCTTAGAAACAACGAAGAACTTTTTAAAATGAAAGTTTTCTTCTACTTTCACTCACAAAAAGGCCCAAAAACAGTGGTCAGATATTGCTTAAACTTTAAATGGTTTAATTAATGTTGTCGCGGATGGTTTACAATTTCTGCAGCTTGCAAATTATTCATTATATTTAGAATTAATAATAAATTATTTGGATCCATTACAAATTTCAAATGATTACGCACCTTCGAACAGCGAATGAATGAAGTGACTTTTCGCGCATGAGCATGAGATGACATTTGGATTCAAACTATTCGGAGAAAACGCCAATTCCCCCGACAAAACCCTGTGGAATTATTTCTCTTGATATCTAGAGAAAATATTCCACAAGAAAATTTCAAAAATCACATTATCTGTGTGTCAAGAGAAAATGACGTAATTTTCTCTAATGAACTAATTCTCCTGTTTTCAAAAATCAAGCCCCAGGTGTTTATTTCTGTTTTATTTATGTAGGAAAGACTATCTCAGTTTCAGCCAGCAACTACTTTTGACTAATTCCTGAAAAGAACGCGTGGGTAATACAACAAACTGCTAGTAGAGTTGCGATAGCAAATGTATGCCCAAATACGAGTAAATGAAATTCGTTGAAAATTTTTAGATAGACAACGTTGTCAATGAATTGTACATGCATTATTTGAAGTGTCAAATTATCAAGAAACTCATAATGACAGATTAATTTAAGCTCAACCCGTTGGTTGGATTTCTAATACGAGTAAATGAAACTAATATCGTAAAACACTGTAACTATTAGGTTGTAATTCAATTTTATAGCAATATTTTCAAGTATCACTAATTTTCATAGCACTGACAAACACATTCACGATTCATATTACGTTAATTTAGCTTTTATGTATCAATGGTGAGTTTATAAAGAAACTCTTAGTCCTAAATTGTTAAGATTAAAAGTTAGGCCAAGTTTTTATAAATTGGATGAAAATTTTGGTGTTAAGACTAGGACTAAGGCTTAAGATTAAGGGTAAAATTGTAGATAAGTTTTTTACTTTTTTATACCTTACAAAATTTTCAAAATTAAATAGTTTGTTTTTATGCACGCAATAAATTATATAGGTTAATAGGTACATTTTGGATCATCTATGTATGTTATTTATTTAATGTCATTACAAACGTCAAGGTCACCCTGTATATATTTATATTTTTAATTATTCTCTACTTATTTTTCTTTATTTATTTAAAAAAAATTCAGTATTTACTTAACTATACTCAACAAAATTCCTAAAAACCCTCAAAATAACTTTTATCTTTTGGTTTCAGATGAAGTCTAATTATTTCTTACTGACTTACCTACAGCGGACGTCTGATGAAGTCAAATCCACGTTCAGTACATTATTGGGTTTATAAAATCAATTAATGTTCAGTAAATCATAAACTTTTGGATTTTCTTGAAAACACAAAAATTACTTATTTAATTTTGACATGGCGATTAAAAACAAAATAAACAAATTTTCTGTTACCTTGTTACTAAGGTTTACAAGATTCATAATAACGGACTACTGGAATAGATGACATTAATTATCAAAGGGAACGCGATTTGTAAATAACTTTTAGGTAACGCCAAACTCCGAAAAATATCCATACATTTAGCGACAGCTTAGTGATAATAGACAATAGACGGTACTAAAAACATGAAAAGGGACATAAAACAGTAAAATATATATAAAATAAGTTACCCAAATTAGGCCCAGGGCCTAAAAAGACCCATATTTATGTCTAAAAAAATCGCTTAACTATGATCATGATTAAAAAATGCGTACTTTTTCTTAAGATTCTTGTGGACCTTTTTAGAAAATTCGTTTCGTCGACATTGTATCGGTTACACAATTTTTACATATTAACCGATTGAACTTCAAAGGAAATCTGCTAGAAAACATATTCCAACAGGTTCTTAGAGTATTAAAATTATAAAACCTGTTTCTCGTTAACCAATGTTTGAGTAAAGATGAATAAGAAATATAAGCTAAAAATTAAAGGCAATAGAGAACTAGTTTTAATTCATTGGTCTCTTTTGGAACCGCTTAGTATCCAAAAGGATTAATTTAGGACAGAGAATAAACAAAGTAGAGCTATTGAAACAAATTTAGCATTAATTTTTGGCCTAAAACATTTAAGGGGGCTTAAAAATGCAAAATTAATAAAATATTGTTTTTTAAAGTACCATAATGCAGTTTAGGTAGGAAAGTTTATATTATCCATAGCTATGCATAACCTTCACATCTACCAATTTTAATCCAATAATTAATTAAATAATTTAATAGTTAATATTAAACATATTTTACATTTATCAAATTTTCACTTAATAAATTGTAGAATTCAAATAACTGTGATAAATATAGTAAATATTTGCAATAAATTGTTAAATTTTCTGGCAAAACGTAAAGCTGACATCAAAACCGAATATGTCTAGCAATCAAGGAACTGAAAGGAAATAAAGAAATTTCTAAACCAGTGTCCAACAGAAGGAATACAACTCTTATCTTGGGTACTACAAGGTACATATCCTAGTTGAGAACGAGGTATACAAAGGATCAAGAACAATCTAATCAAGAAAGTTGAGAATGTAACGTTCTCAAGAGACTATATAAAATCATTATTTCGATTGATTCAAGAACACCTTTACTTTGGGGCATTCCAAAGGCTCACAAGTAAAACGTATCACTCTAAAACCTAACCAATAGTGCGTGCAATGTCTCAGACACTCCCCTACTCGGGGACCGCCTAGCCCTAACCGGGTGTCTTGGCCGGTAGATTTCGATCTGCCGAGGTAAGCATCACGGACGCAGGCTGGAATTTGAATGGGTGACCTAAGGCAGGCTAACCTAACCTAACCTAACCTAACCTAAGGCAGGCTCGGCGACGTGGCTGTGGCAGCCTACCAGAGACCTGGGTCGCGCAACATTTTCCGCATGCGTGTGGTCCCCGATAAATGGTAATGAGAACAGAGCAAAGAAAATCTCTGTAACTCAAGACCATGCTATCATACATAGACTGTACGAGACTTTGCCACCAAGCCACCCGTGTAGTAAATAGGATAGTTTGAAGAAAAGTACTCGAGTAATGAAGGAGGGTGTATGTATGTCCAAATGATATCCTAGTAGGTTTTGACATGTCGCTGTTCACAAAATTGCTAATTAAAAAGTTTTGTAAGAACTTCATCGAAAATTTATCGCAGAAAACAAGGATGATAATTAGTAGATTTAGTTGGCCTCATGGCCCTACTAAACATAACAAACGCGACACTCAGACTAAGACACTTCCCTACCCGCTGGAAAACAGCAAACATAATCCTTATCCCAAAACCCAACAAAGATCACACCATCCCATCCAACTACCGGCCCATTAGCCTGCTCCCGGCTATGAGCAAAGTGGTAGAAAAAATTATCCTAACCCGTCTAAGAACCCACTCCCAAGAACTGCAAGTCATTCCAGACGAGCAGTTCGCCTTCCGACCCAATCACTCCACTGAACTCCAAATCCTTCGCCTTACCGAGCACATCACGGCGGCCTTCAACAGGGGACAGTACACTGGTGCTGTCTTCCTGGACGTCGCAAAGGCCTTCGATACGGTTTGGCATGAAGGCCTACTGATGAAAATGCTCACCAACCAATATCCCATATCCTTTACCAAACTCATAAAATCCTACCTACACCACCGAAAATTCCGCATCCAAATCCAAGATTCCCTTTCCACCACCCGTCCCATGGAGGCCGGTGTCCCCCAGGGCACCGTCCTGTCCCCACACCTATACACCATTTACAACTCCGACATCCCACATCCCCCCAACACCAACATATACTTATACGCCGACGACCTGACAATCACATCCCAATCCGTAGATCCTAGATATTCCGTCTCCCTCCTCCAAAACTCCTTAGACCAACTTGAAACCTGGTGCAACAGGTGGAAAGTCAAAATTAATCCCAACAAAAGTTCGGCTATCCTTTTTACCAAACGAAAAATCCCACAAAACCTCGACAGACTGACACTATCCCAGGAACCTATCTCCTGGAATCGACAAACACGATACCTGGGCGTGACGATGGACCAGCGTCTCACGTGGAAACCGCACATCGTGGAGACGGTGGCGCGAGCGAAGACCACCAGGGCTAGGCTCTATCCCTTACTCAAAGGTGGAAACACCCTCAGTTTAAGGAATAAGCGAACGCTTATCAAGGTGGTACTTCAACCGCAGCTAACCTACGCCTCCACGGCGTGGGGTCACGCGGCAAAAAGCCACTTAAAGTCATTACAGGCTGTGGAAAACATAGCCCTCCGCACGGCCACCGACGCGCCCTGGTACGTAAGAAACACTGACATATTACGAGACTTACAATACACAAACGCTACACAGACAATAAGACAAAACGCGGAGAAACGATTTGACGTAGCCGCTAGACATGACAATCCCCTCCTCAGGCAAGCCGTTGACTACGTACCCGACGTGACCGACAAACACAAAAGACCTAGACACCAACTTTTTGACCCTGGGTGACCACCCCAATGACCCCCCCCCTGCCCGCTAACCTTTTCTGTTTCAGAGACAGCCAGGATCAAGAAACGAAGACAACGACACACACACACACACACACACACCCCCCATACCCTCCTTAACCCTCCCCTCCCGCGCTAGCCTAAGGGCCACCTTAGCAAAGCGCATCCCAGGCTGCATAGCCGCACTACCCTACCCAACCATACCACACATAAACATGACACTACCCCCGGGGTTTACACAGACGAGCCGGCGAAGCAAGAAGAGCGCCAGAAGAAAGGGCCCTAGCCGGCGGGGCCCAGCCAGGACAAAAGGAGGTCCCACAAAGCGCCTACACCGGCCGCATTTGCGGTCGGGGTAGACGACGGATGGGGCCCACCTACGAAGGCTGTCCAGGCCTACACGAGATGAGGCAGGATAAAGAGGGATAATCCCCCTCGATCCCAAATCATTGAGGCCAATTTCTAGCCATAGAATAATGGCGAGTAGATTTAGCAAAAGTATACACTACATTAACCATCCTCCTTTAAGAATCAATTTTATGATCAAACTGACGGAGCAGCTGTAGATTCACCCAACTCAGCTCTGATAAATATTACCTCCATTTAAGAATAAATCCAAGGACTCAGTAACTAAAGTCAAAGAATTGGTCTAGATATGTTGACGATACATTTATTATCTGGCCTCATGGATACAACAACATAGAAGGTTTGCTGAACCACATCAATAGAATTTATCCTGACATCAGCTTCACCGTGGAAATTTAAGAGAAAACTACCTTTCCGTTCCTATATTATATATATTGCCAAGAGAAAACCAAACGGCACAATGTTGACAGAAAGCCAACCCACACGACGCTGAATCTCATGACCACTCAGCCCAGGAACAAAGTATGCTTAACACATTAGTACATCGCTTAGGGACCATCTATGAGACAGAACACTTAAGTGAGGAATTACGACATGCCCTTAACGGAAATGAATACATGAACAGGAATATTGATCTATCCATCAGAAGGATATCTAAGGAAAAGGAAAATGAGATGACACGATTTTCCTTTGATAAAAGGCCGACAATTTTTTGCTCTACTTTGCATCGTATACGATCCTACTATAGCTAATACCAGAATTATGGTGAGAGGAAGAAGATTTTGGCCAAGGCTCTGGAATAAAAGGCAGAAAAATCGAGATATTTTCAATAGGGACGAGGCTTAGAGCTGTTTGGAATTTATAAACGATTTGTCTGAAAAAATCAAGAACCGGAATGACACAGGCCAATGACTATAAACCAAGCTCCGGAATGCTATGGACCACAGCAAATATTTTTAATTTAATCTTCAAGTTTTGTTTTTTTCTGAAAAAGCGTATGATATGTCTCTCAAATAAAAATAATAGTAGCTATTTTAATTAATTACATTTCATTTTATCATTTTGAGATATTTTTTTTAATTCACATCGATATTACAGTATAAAAATAACGGGTTATCCATTTTCTCCTTGGGAAAGTAAAGTTTAAAAAAACACACTGAATATTTAAATTTCGATAGAACTTTTATTTCATAATAAAGTTTGGACTATGCCATTATGCGTGAAAAACAATATCATTCAAATGACCTCCACGGAACCGTTTGCAGGACTCAATCTTTTTGAGGTTTTTTCGAAGACTTTTTTACACAATTCGGGCAATAATTCGGCCATAACTTGATATATCTCGTCCTTCAATTACTCCAAAGTTGTGGGATTGTTCGCATAACCACGGTCTTTCGCATAGCCCCACAAAGAGAAATCCAAAGGCGTTAAATCGTAGGATTTTGGTGGCCCAGCCACATCGCCGAATCTCGAAATTACGCGTCCTAGGAATTTCTCGCGCAATAGAGCCATAATTGGCCGCGTTGTGTGGCATGTGGCCCCATTTTGTTGAAACCACATATCGTCCAGATCAAAATCTTCAATTTCAGGCTAAAAAAAGTCGATGATCATGGCGCCACAATGTGCCGTATGACAGGCCCAAATGCTGAGCTCGACTTGAAGTCGAAAGATTCGGGTCATCGTTAACACTTTCATTCACAGCGGCTATGTTTTCGATTGAACGGGCAAAACGATGATGCACAGGTCTTACGATGTCTGTT